GTAACTTTCCTACTTAATTTAATACGATAATTTCATCAGAGGGGATAACAGCAGCAGCGTGATAATTTTGCAACGTTTTGTGAATGCCTTTACTCTTCCCCATATGGTATTATTGCTACTACTTCACATGAGTATTTGTGATAAATATGGGGACAATCAAAGTTTTCAAATTGTGCAGAGGAAGTAGCCTGAAATTATGTATGTATTTTTATTCAATCACTTTATGGCCATTAAAGAATCAAAGTGTATTTATAAGTGAAACAGTATATTAACTGTGTAGGCAAACCGTCCTCAAAAAATTCAGTTTAGGTAAAACACAGTTCCATATTCATCTATACCTAGGGCTTAAATAAAAAGTAGATAAATTTCTTTGCTCCTTTGTTACTGACCATACAAAACCAAAACCTCAAAGCCACATGCCTAGATGTCAGTTGATTTTCGTTATTTCTAATGCCTGACATGTAACAGCCATTAGCAAATAGATGAAATTCCATTCAATAAATGATGAATAAATGGATGGATGATTGAATAAATTTATATGTTCTTCTCCATTGCTATTAGAGTGCCATAAATTTGTTAACTACCAAATAAATATCTGATTTTCAATAACTGCTTTAGGTAAATATTTAAGGAAATAGAATTTTGAGACAACTGTGATATGGCATGAACTAGATCATCAGTTAAATAATGAGAATGAATAAAGATGTAAATAAAGGTGAAATTTTTATTCCGGAGCGTATAATCATTTGCACATCCTTCATGATGCATCTTGTGGTCCAAGGACCCGCATTTGGGTATGTTTCCATATATGTGAAGAAGGATACGAATAGGAAGAAAAGAGCAGACTTCTTTAGGATTTGGTGTCCCTATTTTCTAGTTCTCCATTAAAATTCCTTAGCAAAGAAATGAAGGAAGGTTAAGGAGTGAGGAGAGAAAAATAACCCTCAAGGATTCTGGAGGATGATTTTTCTTTAATAAATTATGTTTGATTTCTATGAGTAGTTTAGTCTTTGCACATTGTAAAATTATGAATATCATATAATTATATTAGAGTAACATGTTTTTCCTGGAATAAACTTATTATTTCAAAATGATCTAAATGAAATATATTTTAATTTTATATATTTATTTTACAGTGTTAAGTTTATGTGGAATAATCCCTACATTCATGATGACAATTCATATTTCTTCAGTGCATCTAAGGCTATATGTCTGTGTCAAATTCTTTTCTTTAGCCAATTTATTATTTATCTATGTGGAGGATTTTCATTGGCTTATTTACAAAATCATTAGGACCTCTGCAATATTTCTACAGCTGTGACGACCAGCTGATGTTAAGTGAAATGTTTGCTCTTAGACAGGTCGTAGTAGCTACAAGTAAATGGAACATGCTTGAATTATATGTTGGTTTGGATTTTACTTGTTTTGCATTCTGTTTCAGACAACTAAGATTAGACAGTAATTTATTAGGAAGTTATAATCATGAATAGGTTCCTAAAACTTGTATTTGGATGTACAAAATATTATTCTCTTGCACATTATTGTATGAATTATTGTATTTTCTGACATATTGTACATGAACCCTTTGTGTATGTATCACTGTCTAGCTATCACTTTGTGTATGAATGAAATAATTATGAAATACGCTATTTTCAAAAGCTTCAATTGGCAACATCTTTTAACAATTGGACAAGTAATTAAAAGAAAATTGCTTTCCTCACTGCTTGGTGGTGTACTTGATAGAAATGCTATCTTTTTCAATGCTTTCTTGACCTTGGAAATTACTTACATTCTTTTCTATGTAAATTATTTATTTAAAATTTTAAAATGTATGTTTAATTTGTAAGAATAGGGGTTAATCAAGGTAAGCCTCCAAATTCCTCCTAAATAAGATATTACAAATTTTAAAACAGTAGAAAAAGCCCTACCTTTGTTTATTGTACATATTCATAATTATGAGAATACGTGTCATAAATAAATAGTCCATTCCGTTTTATAGTTAAGGTTTTTAAATTTTCATCTGGTCAAATGAAAAATAATTAATAGAAAATGGGAAACTACTGTAATTTTTGTATTTTTCATGTATAATAGGCATTTGGTATAGTAGCTCAGTAGCAAATTATTAAAAGAACCATATTGTGAAATAATATCATATAATGGGTCAAAATTATTTATATAGTTACCAGTATAAGGATCAAGCATGTGGGTTCTTATTAATATACCATTAGCCTGGTCACACAATGAAAGAGAATGAAAGGGCAATTTTGAATGACATTTCTATCAACTTTGGGACTGTCAACCTCTATTATGTCCTTGGGGCTTTGCAGTTCTTGGCTTTCAGACATCTGTGCTGCCTTGAATGGAGGAGAATATTAAGAGTTCTAGTGGGTCTCTTGCTCTAGTAAATGCTTTGGGTTGTCCTTTTTCAGTATGCACGTGTAATAGTTTTTGTGCTTAAAGCTAAGCATATGACATTTCAGCCCATCAGCACCCACATCTGCATCATCTTCATCGACACCACCATTCCCCCGTACACACATTCACACTCTCTTTCCTCTGTGCTCATAAGTCTTCTCTGTTGCAACTCTGGGAATATACTCCTTTCTCTTTTTTTTTTCCTGCACAGTCAAGTGAAACAGCCACGTTTAATTTCTCGGAGAATCCCCTCAAAACTTTTGTAAAGAGTTGTAATGATGTCAAAGGAAATTTTCAGGCCATGATGACAAAAGCCAGTAGTTTCACACAGAAGGTAGTAAGCAGCTATAACATTTGATGGGGGGAAAAGTGCCTAGAATATTTACAGCTGCATAGTAAACAGTCAATAAAGCTCCTATCTGACAGGATATTTAGGCTGAATCAACAATGAGAAAATCCAGACTCTAATCCTTATTGGCTTACTTATTCTCAGTAGTATTTAGTTTATTATACATATGCATGTTTTCATTTATTATTATTAGCATATAGTGTGTTCTGATAAAATTTTAAAAATTGAGATAATATTACATGTTTTTAATGTTATCTTCTTATATTGAGGAAGCTTTTTAAAGGATTTTGAAACCTAATTAAAAAAAATTTCAAAAATAATCTCCATTTATATTGTATGTGGCAGTGGCTCTCAAATGTTAGTGTGCATCAGAATCACCTGGGACTGCTTGTTAAAGCACAGGTTGCTGGAACCTACCTCCGAAGTTTCTAGGATAGAGAGTTTGCCTTTCTAACAAGTTCCCAAGTGGTGCTGATGTTACTAGTCCAAGGCCCACATTTTGAGAACTACTCGTCCATACTGGAGTATAGAAAAAAAGGGACACAGTACTCTCCTGGGTTTCTGCCAACCATAGCATCATACATAAGGATTATGGATGACCAGCTTAACTAAATGTTTCAGATTGAAAGATGTAGGAATAATTTTGCATGCGTAGTCTTTAAAATGCTGAAGTAAACTTTTCACAATTACGTATTGAGCCAGTCAGAGAATTATTTTACTTCACTTCCTTCCAAGATTCTATGAATCCATATGAATTTGGTATAATAGTCATTAATTTATTATGCATCTAACATGATCCCAGATAGCCATTTGAATTCTCATAGATTTTTCAAATAACTGTTCTTTTTGCTGAAACAGAAAAAAATGTTAGAATAATTTTTCCTAGTCTGTTCCTGGGTTTCCTAAGTATAGCTAACCATGGACTCTAATAACAATAAATCACTTTAAAAAATGTAAACTTGAAATAGATGTCATAGTAACCCTTTTGCCATTTTTGTAAAGTGATTTATTTCAATTTTTTTTGGTAAATGTATACATAAAATTTTGTACAAATTAATTGATATATGTTTCTAGCTTATCATATCACTCGATTCTAAATTGTTCCATTTTCAACAAGTTATCCTGCTACTACTGATAGATATTTTATGTTCTTAACTCATGAAGATGAAACAGTAGCTAAATGGAAATTAAATTTTTATTCTATAATAATATCTATGTAAAATAGGATATAGTGTAAACAATAAAGTGCAAGCAAATGACATAATATTTCAATTTTAGAACACGGAAAAGGCATAACTTCTCAGTTTGCAATTAAAGTGATATAATGTTAATATTATCTGATTCTTATGAATGATATGATAGAAATTTTAATGATAATTGTATCCATGAATTTTAGTAAGAAATTACACAGGAGCTATTATAGAAATGTATAAAATATCATGTACACTATGTAAGCTTGACCTATTCAAGCATAAAACAGTTGGAAATCACCATATGTGCTGACTGACTACATACAGATCTTCATACCACCATGTAATACATTGTAAAGAAAACCTGGAAGAGAAGTCTGGATTTAAAAATCATAATGTTAAGTGTTTAGAACAAGTGTTGCATAAAAATAAATAGTACATATTAGTATAATGTTAATTATGTTTATTTTCATTTTTAGATCAAATCAAAAAATATTTTTGTGAAACCTGGGAGAAAAGGTTATTTTCTAAGAAAGTTAGAAAGTTTTCCTCTTTTTTGTATTTAATATGAAGAGCACTTCTGATCAGAGGTACACACCATTTAACTCCTCCATCATGGATGTTCCAGGTACTCTGCCTAAGCACCAGGGTACGAAGATGCTTGGGACTCAACCCCTGTTCTTTGGAGATTGAAAAAAACCTATCTACATCATAATTTTATATGAACTATATACTGTCTCTCAATAAAAATGAATAGTACCAAGAATAGCTTTTTAAGAATATTTCTTGCAGGTTTCATCAGTTATGTGCTTTCTGGATAGTTGAGTGCATGTATACTTTCTCTCATGCAAAAGGTTTTTCATGATATGTAGTTGAAAGTGACATTGTTGACAGCTAACCAAACACTGTAATGTTCAGATTGAATGTTAAGATCACTGATTGGTAGAGTAATTTGATGGGAAATGACAGGCTATATATCTGTGTTTTTCTAGGCGTTTTTGATCAGCCTTTCCTTATCACAGCTCATGTTCTAATGATCGTTGCAGGATGAAGTGGCACAGCCACTGAACCTATCAGCTAAACCCAAGACCTCTGATGGCAAATCACCCACATCACCCACCTCTCCCCATATGCCAGCTCTGAGAATAAACAGTGGGGCAGGCCCCCTCAAAGCCTCTGTCCCAGCAGCATTAGCTAGTCCTTCAGCCCGAGTTAGCACAATAGGTAAGTCTTGTTTTCTTTTGTTCTTGCTGATTTTCTGTTTATGGCAATTGAATAAAATCATCTTTTAATGGCAAATCACGCATACCCTGTGCGTGGCTTTAGTTCCATAGGAGAGTTTCAATTTGATGAACCTCATAGGTCTATTTTAAATATGCAAATGAAATTTATAACTGAAGTCCAAGTTATAATGTCCCTCTGAAAGTCTAATTTGAACTGGTTATGTTTATTGATGTAACTGATATTCTTAAGTTTATAAAAAAGAGGCCTAAATGACTAATCACAGAGAGCAATGGTTCCAGAATGTTGTTGTTAGGTGACTTGCCTTTTTCATCAATAAAATTTATTTACATTTTTTGTGATGTGTACAAAGTATACATAATGATGAAATATATTCTGCCTGGATCAGCAGTCAACCATCAGGATGTGAATTTTGTTCAGTTCCATGCTGTTTAAGATTTACTTAAACACACCAAAAGTATTATAAAGAGTGGGTAGCTTCAATTCTCCATAATTGTCATTTCAATGGAGTAAACAAACACTAGAAAATGTTTCTATAAGCTAACTTTTAAAGGAAAAATCCAATGATTTTAGTAACACATAAGTTAGACTGTAAATACTTACTTCAACCCACATTTATTGGTGTCTATTATTTGCGTACAGTTATAAGGAGGCTAGCACAGACCAGCCCTCAAGGAGCTCATGGCTTAGTTGGGGAAAAGTTACCTATCTTATAGTACAAGTCATCTATAGTAAGTGCTATTCCAGAGCACAGATACAATCGTATAGTTAAAAAGAGGAGAGTGTTGGATTCTATTTGGGAAGGGTCAAGGAAGGTCAAGTTGGAGATAGCCTAATTCAAATGGAACCTCTAAGAAGAGATACATTCCTAGGCATTTTAGGTTGTGAGAAAAAACCCCAGAGTAAAGTAGCATATTTTTGAGAAATGTGCTGATTTGGCTAGACTATAAGTGTGTAGTGTAAAGTGATCAGAGCTAAAACTGAAAGGGGCAGATGGAATTTTATTGAATGCTATTCTAAGATACTTTGACTTTTTCTCCTGACAGCAATCTGATCAGAACTTTAAGAAAAGTATTGGCAGCAGAAAGAGATTGGAATCAGAGAAACCACTGTTTAGTGTAGGACAAAAATAAGTTACATGAAATAAGCAATGAAAAAGAAAAGGAAAGAATAGATTGAAGAGATATTATTAAAGAAGAATTGATATAACTTATCCACAATAGAATGTACTTGGTGAAGTTCAAGTTAGAGACAGGAGTCAAGGGTTTTGAATTTATAAAATCAGAAAGATAGTGCCTCCCTTAACTGTGAAAGACAAGACCAGAGTGGAAGCAGGTTTGAGAGAAGGCATATATATAAAGATTTAATAAGTGTTGAATTTGAAACACAAGGAGCCCGTTAAGTAGAGATGTTCATGAGGAAACTGTAAATGTAAGTCTGATATGTAAAAAGGGTGTTAGAATTTTAGATATAGAAATTATTTCATAAGGAGGATGTTGAAGTCATGAGAGCATTCGTTCACCAAAAAAGAGTGTGTGTGGTAAGAAGAGAAGTGAGGTAAAGAATCATAGGTATTATCTACTGTATTAGTTATCTATTACTGCATAACAAATTAACCTAAAACTCAGCAGCTTTCAACAACCAACATTTATTGTATCACCGTTTCTGAGTCAGGAATGTAGAAGCAGCTTAGCTGGGGGATTCTAGCTTAGGGTCTCTCTTATGGTTACAATCAGGATGTTAGCCAGGGCTGCAGTCATCTATAGAAGTTATTGAGGATGGATGATCTTTTTCCAGGAGACTCACTCACATGCCTGTTGATTGGAGACCTCAGTTCTTTGCCATATGGGTCTTTCCATAGAGCTACTCATAACATGGCAGCTAACTCTCCCCAGAGTGAGTCACCCAAGAAGGAGATTAAAGAGAAAGCCACAGTGCCTTTAATGACCTGGTCTCCAAAGTCACATATAGTCCATTCTGCTTTATTCTTTTCATCATAAGAGAATCACTAAGTCAGCCCAAAGGAAGGAGAATTAGGCTCCAACTCTGAAGGGAGGAATATCAAAGTATCTTTGAATATATTTTAAAACCACCACAATTTTTTAGGGGAAAAAGTGATGAAGAGCAAGTGAGTGTCTTAGAATAAAAATGAATATAGGGCAGTGTCCCGCAGCCCTAGGAAAAATGAAAGTTTCAGAAAAGAGGGGCTGTTTAATGGTGTCACATTCTGCAGAAATGTTAAAGATCATGAACAAGAAAAGCCTTAGGATTTAGCTGGAGCTCGTGGATAGGTAGATGCTGACAAAGAGATTTTAGTAGAATGGCTTAGCAGAATTCTAATTACAAAGATTTGAAGAATATGAGGAAAGAAAGGGCAGTTGATACAGAGACCAGTGTTTTTGTAAGCTTAGTGTTGAGAATTGATTGTATTTAGAGAAGGCTGTGTAGAGACAGGTTTTAGAATAGGAAAATCATATGTGTATAAAATCATATACATATAAAGTGAAGGGGAAGAAGAGTTGGAGAGAGAGAGAGATGAAAGAGTGCCCGAGTGGTGGTGGAGCAAGGAGAAGAGATGATGAGAAAGGGGAAGGAGAAAAGCCCCTTCTGTTTTCTGACACTGAAGGAAATGAAGAGGAAAAGCATAAAGCTACAGAAAAATTGTAAGATGGACAGAAAGAAAGGTGAAGGAGTGTATTTCAAATGCTTCATCTCCACAAAGTGGAATTCCAGATTATTTACCGAGGAAGTCAGTCTGGGGCAGTAGGGCAGCAGTGAGAAAAAACAGTGAAAACTAAGTTTTGAGAAGTTGGGAAAAGGTTTGGGGTACACATATGCTCCTTATCGTTATGCACTGTTCTGTTATGATCTCTCAGTTACTCTGCTCAACATCCTGAATGGACATCAAGTAAGGTTTGCTTTCATGTCCTAAATACGTAAGAGAAAAAATATTTTATTTGGCAAGAATGATTCACTTCCGTAATAGACATGAAGGCTCATAAATATCACAGAGCTGGTATATGAGCTACTTTTATAATGTCACTAGAACTAGAGTATTTAACTAATGGAATAACTAATATATTTGCATTTTTATCATATGAGGATTTTTTACTTCGGCGTTCCAAGGATTAAGTATGACAAAATATTTTAGAAAGACAAGAATGTATTTAGTGACATTTATCATCTGACTTTCTCCACTACTAAAACTTCTTTTATTTTTTTTCCCTGAAAAGTCCCTTCAACACATAACACATCCCTCATATTTTCCAAGGATTTTGAGGCCACTACAATTTACTTTTCTCTTTTCAACAAATGCACATGTTGAAAGCTGAAACTGTAATGAGTAATAATGTAGATGGATAAAAGCTGTAAGCATTAATGGTGTTGTAAAGGTCACCCTGAAAGATGAATTACTGTTATGCCATTAATAAACCACAGAAAACTGTGACACAAAAGATAAGTTATTGTTAACGACATGGGGCTCTTTGCTATATATCTATTAGCTACAAATATATAAAGTGAGTTTTTGAGGTTGGTGACCAATATTACAGTGTATTCTATAAGAATTCTTTTGATATAGTACACAAATGATAGGCAACTCCAAAGAAAGGGGATCCCTTAAAAGGTGTGAATAGTTCAGAAGAATGCTGGGTAATTTTAGCATCTTTTGACCAGATGTTATCTTTCCCTTATTGGCCTTTTCCACCTATGTTGTCTATATGTTTAACACTTTTAACTTTTTCAAAGAATTTTTAATCTGTTTTCTCACTGCAGCTAATTTTAGAATTATAGACCCTTAACTAGATAGAACAGATAGCCATATCATCTAGTCAAAAGTTGTTTTACAGATAAGGAACCGAGGCCTAAAGAGGCTAAGTGCTTATCCAGGGATTCCAAGTTCCTGTCACAGTGTAGACAATTCTGTGATTCTGTGTTTATTACCTCTGTTTTAATTTCAAGGAAACAAATGTACATGAAGACGTACTAACTTGCCCAAAGTCACAGACATGGAGTTTGAGGCCTTTCTATCATAGTCTCTGGGTTGGCGTGCTTTCATTTTAGTTGTTGCCTTTTGGTAGCCTTCCTACACTAGATGCTCTTCTCAGTCATTTATTTATCCTTTCACTCATTCGTCTGATAAATGGGTATTAAATATCTTCTCTTTACCATACATTTTCACAGCAAAGTCTTGGACTGAGCCTTTAGATGCCTACAGTCTTTGTTCTTTCCTGTCTTTGAAAGATATTGAAACATATTATTCTGACCCTTCATTCCTCAAAGGCATTAACACATGAAAAGCAAAACTTTACCTGAGCAACTGTAATAGACACACATTGATTCAATAAAATGAAAGGAAATATTTTCAGGTCCATTAATTTGGTACTTACTACTACAACTTGCTAATTTAAAATATAACATGAAGGAGGCTATTACCTTGAAGTTTCATTAGTTTACTTTTTTGTGCGTGTGTGTGTGTGAGGAGATCAGCCCTGTTCTAACATCTGCCAATCCTCCTCTTTTTTTGCTGAGGAAGACTGGCCCTGGGCTAACATCCGTGCCCATCTTCCTCCACTTTATATGGGATGCTGCCATAGCATGGCTTGACAAGCGATGCGTTGGTGCGTGCCTGGAATTCAAACCGGCAAACCCTGGGCCACCACAGCAGAGCATGCACACTTAACCACTTGCGCCACTGGGCCGGCCCTAGTTTATACTTTCAATGAGAAAAACTTCTATGTGGGTAGGTTATTGAACAAGAATATAGTAGTAGTTTCATAGAAAGCCACTGAATTATCTGGAAGTTAGGGGTATTATTCAATATCTGGCAATTAATATTGTATAGCACTTTATAGTTTACAAATTGCTTTCACATTTATTATCTAAGTAATTCTTGTGAGCTTTCACAGATGAAGAAATGACTGCATATCAGGGTGCCAAAAATTTGATGATAAGTGACCTCAAAAATAGAAAAAAATTAATAT